GGCGAGGGTGAGGGGAGGAGGAAAAAAAAAAAAAGTAACAATAATTTTCCCTTAAGCATGAACAATGAAGTTTTTGGACTTTTTTTTTCATGCTGACATTGACATGATGAGAAAAACATTTTGAAAGCTGATTTTTGTTTGAGCTTCGCGGGGTGCAGGGGAAGAAAAATCGATAAAAAAAAGTTTTAAGGGGTTGACATCTGATGACATTGCCCCCCCTTTGTTTTGCTGGTACACAAACATTTCTGCCTTTTTGCCCTTTGTCAAGCCCCTGCTATCTGTGGCCTCTGTCTCAGAAAAGAGCCAAAAACTGTGTCACCCATTTTTAAACTCACATCTTCAAGCAAAAGTATAGCATTTTGGGCCCTGGATTTTTTTTTTTTATCCTAGGAAATTTACACTAGTATAAATAAATTTATGTTACCTGTGAGACAGAATTAGAAAAAACACAGAGACAAAAGGTAGACGAAAAGACAAGATCGAAAACCCTAAATTTGGGGTTAATATCATTTTCCCTTTTTAAAAGAGGAGTGTTAATATGAAAATTAAACCACCCGGAAAACCTTGTTTTTTCCCCTCACTGTTTGCTCTAGCTGGCCTAAATTTTTAACGGTGCTCCCACAAGGTCCTAAGGGGTCCCAATTTTTTTAATATGGCGCACCCGAGTTTTTTAAACCCATTCTATTGCTGACTAGGCATCTCGGGGGAAATTTGGCCAAAAATTTGGAGGCGGAAAATAAAATTGTATTATACACCTACTTACACTTTGTCACACTTCACAACACGCACATGCATATAAAAATATATACATACATCTAGGTTTTTCCCCCTTTAATTCAAAATAGCTGGGGGTTCTTTTTTTTTTTCTTCTTTTTCCCGGGGGAAAGTGGAAAAAAATTCTTTCCTCCGTAACCGGCGTGCCCATGAGGCGACTAAAATGCCGGGAGCAAGGGGCTAGTAACCCCTTCCCCCGTATAATTTTAACAAAAAAAGGAAGAGAAAAACTTTAAAAAAGGGGTTTGTTTAAATGTCGGGATGTAGTGCGGATGACAAAAAACCCCGGATGATTGCTGATTTTTATAAAATGAAAAGAATTTGGGATGCCCCGGGCTTTTAAGCGAAACAAACCCAAAGGGGGGTGGAAGTTTCAGGGGGGGGAAAATTTAAAAGGTTTAAATTCGGGAAGATCTAGAGAGTTAACAAAGGGGGGGAAAGGCAAAAATTTTAAAAATAAATCATTTTTAGGGAAAGGGAGAAAAGAGAATATGAATTGTAAATTCGAAATTTAATTGGATTAAAAAAAAGGGTTTGGAAATGCGAGAAGGGGTCATAATAAGCGTGAAATCACCTGGAGAAGAGAGGAATCCAGGGGAGAGAGGGGAGTTTTTTGGGAAAATTTTTAAGTGAATTATAGGAGCCTTTGAACCAAGGAAAGTAATTGTGGAAAGGGGACCTAATGCTAAAGTGGGAAAAACTTTAAAAGGGGGGGTGGAGGTAATTTTTGGGGGTGCCGGGTGAAAAAGATAAAGGGACCCCT